CGCTTGGGGCTCATGCGGGCCTTCGAGGCCCTACTTGAGTTTTTCGGCGACGCCGATCTGATCGCACGCCTCTAGCGAGGCCCATATCCACTGGTTGTTTATTTACGTCTGTTGCCCCGCCCGCCTCCTCTGACACTCGTCACGTGGTGCTCCCACTCCCGGCCACGAGTTTACAAAGGCGAGCGGATAGAGCCACCCACAATGCACCGCGGGCCAGCGCTCTTGGAGGCTATGCATTTCCGCCGGCCTAACTGTGTCATCGCGCTGTCGCTCCCCGCACTTTCGTATAGTGTTGCCGGAGGCTGCTGCTGCAGCTAGCGGGGGGGCCGCCTTGCTCGCAAAGGAAACCCCTCAAGGCTTTTGGACCTGCGGCGAGTTGAGTTGGATACTCGCGAAGAAATCGTGTGCGCCCACCTGTCGCCTCTCGCAACCGAAAGCCGGCTCGTTCATGACGCAAGTGGGCACTGGAACGACGTGATCAAGAAAAGGAAAACCCTCTACGATTGACATCTCGCAATCGGTTCATGTTTCAAGCAGTGCGCGCGCCTTGTATCGCCGCTGCGCTGCGCTCCTCGCTCTGCCCAACGTTTTGCCGGCCCGTTATCAACGATGTAAGTTTGGATGTTTACTAAGTCGTATGCAATCAACACAAAACGACGCGATCACGTACTTGTGCAAGCCTTGCCTCGTCGCTGGTCAGAAAGGGGGTTTCGGAAAAATCACACTCCGCTACGTCGCGGTCGTCACTTCAGGGTTAATTAGCTTTAGCTGATGCTCAGCACTGACTTCTAAGCTACGCATTATGAATAGGAACGTGCCATGCCACACGAAGACCTTCCAAACACCATTGTGCGGCTTAAAAAAAGTAAAGCTTCCGGCCTCGCCCGTTCATATATTCAACGCCTCCTTGATATATTACACGGACAAGCTAATACGTCATCGTTAAGGCAAAAGAACGCCGCTGATTAAATATTGCCTATCGGCGCAAGTAAGGTTCGAACAAAAACAAAATTTTTCTGGTGCGTCCTGCAGAAAAAAGCGCCCGTGTTTTCTTTTCTTTTTTGGCGCTTCAGTGCAGCATGCATGTGTAATGCGGTGAAGCTGTGAGGGCACGCGCAACTTTATAATATGCGACCGAGCACCTCGACATGATGTTTTTCTCTTTTTTTTCTACAACCCGCCCTTGTCCAACAAGCAGTCATGCAAACTTGATGGCAAGTAAAAAAAAAACATACCTGGCCACTAGTGCCACATAGCCGTCACATGAAATTGAAATAAAAGCAGGAGTGCAGACCATGCATAGAGATACACTGGAGGATGTTCTAAAGCATAGACCATGCTCTGAATGAAACATAGAGAACTTTGATGCTAGTGTCTGTGGCAGCTGCAACGCACAGCACTTCAGCTAGCATGGCAGGGATGGGTAGTACACGAATGTGTCTAATGTTCGTTCTTTTAGCTCCGTGTGGCCTGAATTCGCTTTGCCACAAGACAAAGTTTAGCAAAGGTTTAAAATCAATGCATAGCTATAAACACAGCCACAAGTGCATGGGAAGCCTGCAAACACGAAAACTAGGCAAATCTGTGAAGTACCCATCATTCCCATGGCAACTAAACGACTGCAGTGCCAGAGTTACTTTTAGGAAACTATGAGACCATAAAAGTCACCCAGGATCTTGCAATTGCACCTTGTTTTATTTTTGCATCATTTAAAAACAACGCTTTGCTAATGAAATGCCATTCGAAGTATCACAGGATCATTGCTTGCTTAGACCCCTCATCATCCAACCTTGTATAGGTGAGAGCCAGTCCTTACGCATGTACCTGTTCAAATAAACATCCGTTCATGTGACTGCCTGATTTGTGCAAGGATTATAAGATGCAATAAGACTTTACAATTCATTAGTATACACTTTAGAAACAGATATTGAATTCAATGCAGCAAATAGTTCAACTGCCTTTTGCAACACAGCATATGCCAGGTAGAAAATGCAGCAAAGGCAAATATATTCTGGAAATTGTTTTGCAAAGCCTTCACAGGCATGGTGGCAAATATATCGGTTAATGCCAGCAATGTCTATTTTCTGCCAAGCTCTGAAAGCTCTTGCACGAGTTGTCTAAAATGCCTATACACCTCTTCAGCCTATGAACTTGGCGTTTCACTGCAATGTAATGTTAAAATCAGAGGAAATAGTAAACCGCCTGTAAGACTTATAAGCTGTTGTAAAAAGAAAAAGCAATATATTTCTTAATATTGAAGAAGCATTCTGAACAAAATTAGACCAACTGAGGCTGCCACAAGTGGCCTTGAAAATGTAAAAATACTTGCCAACATAAGTTGCTGGTCTAATGTGGAGGCCACGCATTTCAGTCAGCTGTACACATCGATGCTAAGTCTTTGTAATGTTATGAAAATATTCATAATAGCACCTATAGACACAGCATAATACACCCAGTTTATTATGTCTTTTGGCATTGAGGATAAAAGATAGCTTATTCCTTTGCATACATTTCTAATATTTCTGCAGTTATGAAGATTAGAAGCTTGACGACTGCTGGCATACTAGTTTATGTTTCTCAAAGAGATGTGGACATCTATAAATCCAGAAGCCCGAAATATAAATTTCAAAAAGTGCGAGGATATCCAAATGCAGAGCTGTGAAATGTTATGCTCACACCTCTTATTTAATCTCTATACGAAGTTTCGGTTCAGCAAGGCATTATACAAGTATCGATGTTCATATGCCTCATGACTGGCATGTGTATTTGCACAAGTTTTTCACTGCCATTCAGGGTTGTTGCAAGTACTGTACTGAGCATGTGTTCCTCTTTCCCCCTAAAATATCCCTGGTGACAGCACTGTTGCCAGCACCATAAATGAAGCAATGCAGGCAGTGACTACAGTGCCAAATGCATGAAACACCTCGACATTGAGGTCTCGTCATACAAACTAGCTAATCTCAAACTTTGCGAATGATTGGGCTACGGCCCAAGTGGTGCAAGGGTTTCTTGCGAGAAGAAAAAAAGTAATAAAAGTGAACTGCTCTCTTAGCCCTTTCAGATACCACCTACGAAGAACTGTATGTACTTGTGTGAAACTGACATTTCAAGGCACTCGATATTCTATTGCAACAAAAATAGCGGCATAACACGAGGTGCATTCAAAAAGAAACCGAACTTGTGCTTTACTGTAGTCTTTGACTTTGTTTCTCGGCCACAAGTATGGCCAAACAAAAAATTTCATCTTGGAAGTGCCGCCTGCTGCCTTAGTCCATATCACAACTATGCGACATCTGGTGGAGGTGGTTTCTTTTATGTTCTGGGCGCCCCCATCAAGCCATGAACCCAGCTCCAGTGCCAAAAAAGATACCCGACGCCGACCTTGAGCCTGTAATCTTCAACTTCTTCAAACATTAATGTTTTTTAGATTACTGCGTAATTTTCAATAAAATAACTAGTGGTAATGGCAGTTCATTTCTCCAATCTTACCTCAACACTGTAGCAGCTTGGTGCAGCACATGGCAAATAGATTTAAACATGCGTAAATGTAAGCAAACATGCATAAGAAGATATGCAGACATCTTGCTAACATACTAGGTAAATGTCCTACGCAATCGGGTCAACTCATATAAATAATTAGGTGTTCTTATCTCATTGAACTTACCTCAGGCACCTCACACTGAATATGTTACTAATAATGCCGATCACAAGTTAGGCTACATACATTGCACCTTCTCAAAACCCCGATATACACTAAAACTACTCCTATATGAAACATTATTACGTTTCAAATCTTGAATATGCCTCTTCTGTGCGAGACCCTTGCCACGACAACTTGATTCACTTGTTTGTACAGAATAACTCCATCCGCTTGAAACCTTCTCACTGTAATTGCATTGCTGGTATAACTTCAATGAAATCTAGCCGAAGCCTTGCTTCTTTTGCACCCCCTTGTAAAATATCCTATTTGGCTTCATTTCACGAATTATTCAGTCATACCACCCTGCATGACCAACTAATCCTGAATCCTCAGTACATATCCCATTGCAGTGACCTCGTCATAAGGTTGGCATCGCATTATGCAACTCCCAGTGTTTTCATCTTGTACATTGGTACATTGAAACCAACTACCTGAAGACATGTCACTATTAGTAATTGTTTTCCAATAAACTTTACTCAGTATTCTGTAATTATGCCAAAATAGACTAACTAACATTCTGTATTTACAGGCTGAATTATGTATTGTGTTTGTTGTCCTTACACAGCTAACATTGTGTAATGATGAGTTTATTCTTTGTTTAGTAACTTTTCATGCTGCATTTTCCTTGTCTACTTTGTAACCAGTCCCCTCTATTATGCCGTAAGGATTTTGAGAGTAAATAAAATAAAAATAAATATGCAACTGTATGCTGCAAAACGAAGTTAAATAAAGAGATTAGAAAGTCAATATATTTTGATGTTTCTTAGCCCCTACAAATACAAATAGAAAAATCAAGGGGTGTACACAATTGTGTACATAGCGTGTCAAACGGTTGACATTCACCCAGCATTCCTTGCAAGCACTGAAAGCCGATGATTCAGTCCTTTTTATGCCAACTTAGTCGGACATCAGGGGTTGGCACTCCTTTAAGAAGTGGAGTTCGCTTGTTTGGGATTAAACAAAACCAACTTCATGCTTCAAAAACTAACATTTTTCAGGCAAAGTAACATGAAGTATCAACATTTTTAGGCTTGCTCTTGTAATTATTACAGTTCATTTATAATTTTAGTGAGGTAAAAGGTTAAATTATGTGACAGCTTTGTGTTAGTAACAACAACAAAGCATTCAGAAATACTACACAAAGGCAGCTGCTGTCCCTATCACAGTACATGTTCACAATGAGGAGAACGTTACAATACCTTGTGTAGCACATGTGAGAAAAAGACTCGACAGGTTTTCACACAACCAATGTTTTCTTTATTTTCTGTCCCCCTCGCGCCAGTGTTGCTGCTGCATCGCTCGTGATCTCGTGCATCCCCTTCTTCCATCACGACGCGATCCCCTTGCTGTTGGTGGCACTACAACCCAGTGGCATTCAAGCCCTTAGCACCGAGGTTCACACTGTTTTTGGTGGCCAGCCTGCAAGTAGGAAAGATACCAAAGTGTTTTTAAATATCGCGTTCTGCGACCTGCTTTCAAGTCAATTTTTAATCTAGTTTCTCAGAACTTTGCAAGGAAATATGAGGAAATGGAAACAGTCAGCAATCCTAGATGTATCAGAACTATAGTACAAGTAAAAAAGAAGGCAGGAAATTGAACACACAGAGAAGCACACAAGCAGCACAATAAAGAGGACCCCAAGACATAATGCATACAACACCATGAGAAGTGCATTGTGGATGACATATTTTGATCATTAAGCTTACCAGATATATTTTCAGCAAGCAGCACACCTACAGGGTACTGCACATGGAGATGCATGTCAACTGTGGGCACACAGTATTGAGTTAACATGGCTCACATTTTTCTATGCTTCACGGGCATGTAGGACTGCCTTGTGGGGGTGCGCGGCAATGGATGGTGGAGCTTGTGCGCTGAGAAGCAGCAAAGGTGGCTCAATAAGGAATGAAAGCACCATTTGCAAGAAAAAAAAAGAGAGTTCAATTATTTTGTATTAACGGCGTGTTACTATTATGTCCTTATTGTACCAAACTCATGAAAATGAACATTGGTGATTTTATTATTTACAAGTAAGCAAATACACAAGTGAAATAAAAACTGTCTGTTTGCATCATTTTTCACACACCCCACGGGCATTGAGAGACCATCTGGAGCTTCTGGTGGGTAGGGCACAATGACGATAAATCTATTCTAGCTTTATTTAGCGCTCATAAGTATGTAGGATGACTGCCAGTTGGGCGTGTTGGTAAAGGTTCATGATGAAACAAGTGCAAACAAGTGCAGTGTCCTCTCCGAGTCTGGGCTCATAAGTAATTTAGTCATTCAAATGCAAGCTCTGAAGGCCAGAATGCAAGGCAGCACCCCAAGTAAGTCTTTCACTTTCAAGTGACTATGATAGTCCTCCACTGCTTTGCTGTTTTGTATCGCAATAAAAACCATACGTCTGAAGTGTCCAACATTCCAACGGCTTCTCTGGCGAGTGTGTAGAAATCCTCGGAAAAAATTTTTTATTCTGCGTTCAGTCTTCTTCCATCGGAGTGATGAACGCCCGGAACGATGGCTGGTGGACGTGATCACAGTGGTGTGAAAGTCTAAAACTGAAACCGTGTGCAGTTTTTGCAAGGCCTTCACCAATAATACTACATACACCGTACTGGTCGTATAAAGCATGGAAATTGTCAGATAATGTATTACTGAAGTTTCTCCAGCTTTGTTTAGTTAGCCTCAAAAACCACCACAGTTGAGGGGAAGAGTTTGTTCCAGCAACACTGGTACGCCAGCATTGTGAAACGAACTGTAGTGGTTTTACTCCTGCCAAGTGTGCATGCAACTAAAACAAACATGAAATGTCCTTCACAAAACAGCAGAATGTCCCCGCTGTCTTGCAGTTGTGTTTAGGTGTTCTGCGATGCATATGGGATGAGAGCCAGCATGGGCAACATGATTAAGCGAAACGTGATGGCAAAATGTTCTCCAATGTTAGAACTTTGGTAAGTACTGTTGTGCACTTTAAGCACAAATGATCGCGCAACATTACTAGATGACACTGGACCCACGGGCAAGGTTTGAAAATTTACTGAAATCAGTTGTGCTAATACTTGCCAAAGACTTTTTTGTTGTTGTTGTTGAGAGCGGCGCCAGACGCAGCACTCGCTTTTCTCCGCCGTAGGCAAGCACGCGACCGTCTCGCCGGCAGTGCCACGGTGCCTCTTTGAACGCGTGATAAAACAAGCAAAAGTGCTCTCTTGTGCAGTCTAAAGTTGCCTCAAGGGAATGAAATGCAATTTCAAGTTAAACATGTTTGTTTTAAAGCAAAGCCAGCCTACTTGCGAGCATTTCTGTGTGGATAAATTGAACCACATAGCTGCTGGGTGATGCCAGCAGTTGCTTTGTAGATTTTCAACATCAAAATTACTCCTTTTATATGGTAAAAAAACATGCTCATTGGTGCTGATGAGATTAACAATCTTCTCATTTTCACCATAATAAGCAAAAAGTTCTGTGCAGTTGACAGTCCCTTTAAAAAAATTGTACGCCAATATTACAGCTTCATTGCACTAGAAATACTGCAAATTGATTACATATGTCGAGCCCTCCTCGCAGCGAATTCCGAATATGCATGAAACCTGACAAGACAGCTTGTATATGCTTGGTAATCTTCAGTTCTACCATTCAACATTTGATTGAAAAATATAGCCCTCCAACAGTTCGCCCTGTCAGAAAACATGCATGTGATTTTCGGCCACAACTTCTTTCACGCACCTGTCCAAAACAGCCAGAAGAAGCAAGAACTGCAAGGTTTAGTGATGGGCAAATAGTTATGTGAGGTTGAAAAAGTAGTAATTTGGTTGAATCATTTAAAATCAAGCATTTTTATTATAATCCAATAACCTTAAACATTTTACGAATAAGAAATAGGCTTGTACGAATATCACATGCGCTTGTGTAATTTCCTCGCCTCTTAGCAGTGTCCTTTTTTGCTCTTATACCAGGAATGTCTCTTTCTTGTAGATATTAGCGAACTCACTTCGGAGTCTACTCACTCTGACTCGGATCGAGACGCTAGTCTCAGAATGAGTTAACATTTCTGTGAGTGTGCGTCTAAATGAGTCCGTCTCTGGAAAATTTTGGTGTTTCTGAGTCCGAGCGAGTCCAAAGTGCAAGATACATTTCCTGAGGGAATCTGAGTTCGATTTTTGTTTGCCAAGCTATGGTCATACCTACTCGTCTTCAGTATTACTATCCGCTTTACCTAGATCAGCGTTCATACTCGCGTCAATGCTCACATATTTCAAAGCCGTGTCTTTTATATACCATTTGAATATTTATTGATCAGTGGCATGAATTACATGGTGGAAGGCCTCGATTTTTCCCTAACCATTGACAACTAAAGGAAGTTGGTGATAACCTCTCCTTAAATACATTTAATAACAAAAAAGTTGGTGATGAATATATATTGCGCTGTCATCTCTTTCAAGAAAAACGACCTTACTGGTTTACGAGCACTTGTAACTCGTATTCGAAGGCACCATAAGAAAAGGTGCCAATAAGAGCATCGATTACGTGAAATTTCGGTGTTAAAAAGCACTGGCATTGTGGTCGAAAAAGACAGTGAGTCCGAGCGAGTCCAGCTGAACAAATTTTTGTGATAGTGAGTACGGCTCCCAAAAATGTTTATTGAGTCCGAGTCTGAGCAAGCTCCACAAGTTTTTCTGACTTACGCTACCTTGGGTTGAAGCAAAGTGGAAGCAAGTTTCTATTAAATGTATGATTTAAATATGACTACATTGCAAGTTGTACACAGTGAAATATTTGTGTTTAAAGGTTTCCTACTTGGCCCATATAACAAGCTTTTAAACTTAATAGGGCCCTCCAACACTTCGAAAAGTGCACTGTTGTAGCCAAACACCGTCAGCAGCTAACACGAGAGATTATGGAGGCCAATGAAATGCAAATGCTGGGTGATCGATGTATCAGCATGCCTTCGCTTGCTCTGACTAAAAAAGAAAGCGAGTTTCTGGCTTTGACACAATTGATTGTGAACTTGTGCTGAGCTGTGGCGTTGTAACCATATAATGAGATGATGATTGTCTTGCTGTGATGCAATACATTGCGCGGTGGTGTTCCGTCATGAGTATATATTTCCAGCATTTTCGTTAATAAAATTTCAGTTGTCAGCGCTCTTTCTGTCCTTGTATCTTCTTCTGTAGTTACATCGTAACTACTCGTAGTCTTGCGCTGTACAAATATGTTGAATCCCTATCACCAACTAGCCCAAGCATCTGTCTTATCAAGTTATGAAATAAAAACACTGTATACCCAAAATTTCCAAAACAAAGAAAATTCAGAATATACGATTTGAGAATAAATGACCCAAGAACAGTACAACAAATTTATAAATGATGCATATGATGGTTCTATTCAAATAGACAAAGAAAATTGGAAGCGAGGTGCCACCTCATTGCTAGTGCCGTGCGGTATAAAGCATTGCTTGATTTTTTTTTTGTAACACACATGAACTCAGTTTTCTCAATAAACTTTTGTTCTTATTGCGATAAGAGCCCACAAGTGTTTTAATATAGATGGATGTTATGATATGATCCCACTATAAATACAAATGTCCAATGAAATTCGCTGTTTAAAATTAACAGGGTTGCAGGCACTATAACCTTACTGAGTCTTGAAAGGTCGCTTCACGGCATTGCGAATATCCCCAAAGTGGTTGGTTTCACCGCACAGAGAACCTATGCGGCAGTGAAACCACCTTTCAAAGCGATTACACACGGTGAAGTATGTCTCACAGGCGCAGCCACTCAGTGATGTTCCGTGCAGGAAATTTTTGTTTTATCGGGGAATATTCGCCTGTCATTTTGAGCCAAAAGAAATCTTCGCAATATTGCAGGGTATTTCAGGAATGGTTAAATTCTCATATGACGACCGATAATTAGCGGTCACAGTGCGCCTTCATCTGCTGTTATCGGTTCTGGTGCATGCACCACGCTAGCAGAACCCTTGAGATTTGATATACGCGGAGCGATTTCTAGTTCATTATTGGTGTTAGACTTGAAGCCCGCAATGTGCAGTGTACTATCACTATATGAATGAATATGCCATGGCTTTGTTGTGCGGCAGCGGGTAGGCTAGTCATGATTTCAAAAGTGGCCAGTACACCATACACGTGTAATTATAGTGTTTGCGTAGATGAGCGCGGAAATGAGTACTGTTATGCAGGGAAATATGCTGGAACTTTCGTCAACGTTAACAGGGAAAAATCCCCGAAATAGGGAATTTTCATGTCTATGACTGCGAATTCTTCGGCGTAGAACGAAACATTACTGGCCACAGTGTACATGCTGAATCGGCGGTGACGTCAGACCACTGGGTCGTGTCCACGTGGTGTCCACGAAGGCGATCGCTCCACGAAGTTCGTCCTACCACTGTGGTTGTGACCGTCAAGT